TTTTGAATGAACACTAGAAGTCCTGACGAATCAAGGAATCACTGGACTTCCTTACAGCATTTATTCCTCCTTTGAGGATATTCACATAAGAATTTGGGTCACTTTTCATTGTTTTGGTGCTGTCAATTTTTCTTAGATCAATTGGGCAAAACCAATAATGAAGCATTCTTCTTGCCATCAGAAAAGTTACCTTTATTACAAATAGAATGGCAGAATATAAAGTTACCCTCATATTTCTTCATATAGACTTTAAAAACGAACAGTTCATTCAATACGGCAATTAGCTTTTGCTCAAGGGAATAAAAACCTTAATCCTATACATTTTAAAGATTGCAAAGAAAAAATGTATAAAATTTTATATGTGCCTCCGAGGTCTATCAAAAAACCCCACCAAAAACCCCACAAATTTACAATTATAAACTACCTTCCCCTCTCTCTTGGAATTATGATTAAAAATAAATAATAATGACCACCATGAAGGTTTATAGATCACATTAGGCAAATACTTTTGACACTTTTAAGGAGAGTTATTTTTTTACAATTGTCCAATTGTTAAGTTTTTTTCAAGTCCCTGCTCCCCGCCCCTCACCCAAATTTCTGTACTCTGCCATCCAGTCAAGATAGATGTTATCTATGAAAGGAAAAACTTGGCTCTAAGTTCTCTCAGTTGAGCCAGCCTTCTCGGATCAGTTTGGAAGGTCGACACTGGTTCTTTGCACACCCCTAAGTGATATGTATCAGGGAGAAAGTAGCTGGGGGACTGGTCAGCAAAAAAGAAAAAAAGGAAAAGAAAGGATGCAAAATTATAATAATGATTTTTAACAGAAAACAAAGGGAGAAGAAAGACAACATAAAAAGAATAGGGTACAATTAAATTCATTTTCTCTCTGAAAACATATTTACATCTGCATGCAGCTTTTCAACCAGCCATGCGCCAACATAAGCAATTTGGAAGCTGCAAAAGCTGCAGCAGTGGAAATGTTATGTGTTAGGTCAAAAGGTGGTGGGTGTGAATTTACTAGTATCGCCAAAAGAAAAATAAATTAGCCGCTGCTGTTCAATTCTGGGGCATTATCTGCTTAGTGCCATGGCAAGAGCAAATTGTGATCGAGAAGCACAAGTAACAGCAGCTTTACCTCTGGCCCACCAACCTTTCTTTCCGAGGGAAGGACAGAGGTTTTCTTCACCTGGTCATACACAAATTATAAAAATTCAGTTGCTTTGCAATGCAACAACAATACTGTCAAAGGTGGAAGAGGTATCCCCAGAGAACAGAAATATTGTTCTAATTATTAAAGAAAAAGTAAGATATGCCAGAAAGTGGAGTTATCCTATACAAAAGGTTATCACAGTACAGTTCTTATTTATTCCATTATTCATTTAGAGGGGTAATATACACAAACATAGAGCTAAAGTTTCACAAGTATCCCCAATGATGTAATTTAATTTATAAAGAGTCATTTCTTTAAAGTCCACAGAATGACATAGCCATTCCCCAAACCAGTCCTGAGATAGTTTCTGAAGGGTTTCTATTAAGATATAAGATATTTTCTGGATATGGAGACTGATTCAAATTTACCAAATCTCATCCAAGAGAATACTCTTTACTTTTTCCAAAGTAGTTGAGCATCTTTTATTATTTGCACAAAACCAAAAAGAAAACTTCTAGGAAACATGCAGTTACCAGGCGAGATAGAAACGCATTTTGTCCACGAGAAAAAGTCAGTTCAGGGGACATTCGCTAGATTTAGAATACAAAACTACGTCCATGTCCATCAGGGCATGGAGGCCTCGAAGACAGTGAACAGGAACAACTGCATCCTGCATCCCTGGTAACTCTACTTAGCTGCCCATCGTTCAGGATTTCTCCACCCTTACTCAGTGAAACTGGTTTGACTCCATTTAGAGAATCATTAGCCAATTTTAATCACATTTTGAAAAATACAGAAAGTACCCTTTGTAAACCAACTTTTACTATCTTCTCCAGTTCCAGAAACTAAATAAGTTGGATAGTTTATCTTAAATTCTGAATATAAAAGCAATTTTTAAAAATTATTAAGATATCACTTTACCTTTCTTAACTAAAATTGCTTTTGCTTTGGGGGGGGGGGCAAGCGTATAATTTAAAGATCATTACAGTCACTCAGCAAAGTCATTGTGACTATTTATATAAATATTTAGCCCGGCAGGCTAAAGATTAAGTAAAGAATTTTTGAATATATGCTCAAGGTAACTTTTAGACATTTTCATTACACAGATTCATTTATTTGGGTGTAGAATTTCTACAATAGGAATGACAACAATAACAGAAAAAGAATAGCTCCTGGAAAGTATCTCTGGTTCCTCTAATTGTGACTATGTTATAAAGCAGTGTATTAAAAGTTTGATATTTCTCATAAAAATAAAATAAATCATCAACAGTTTTTCTAAAATTGAAATACAATAATTTAATACTTGGTATTCTGCATTCGCTAGCTTAGGGGCCTCCTAGGTTTATTATATAATTGTGGTCAACCATTCCAGACATTTCTAAGTTGTTCAAATGTTCAAATAATGTTTTTAAAAAATGCTTATTCCTTTCTAATTTTGACCTTACTAAATTTAGTGTACTCTCTGGTCCTTGAAGGCACAGTTTGAACATAAAGTTCCGTTGGCTTATGGTCAATTTGTAAACACACACTAGCCAGAAGCATGCAGCTACAGAGAGAGTTCTCAGACCCTAATCATCTACTGGTAGCTCTAAGTGGCTCCCTTAATTAGACTGGGTGGTCCAAATAACTTAAAAAAACCAGTGTTTGATTACGAATGCCTTAAAGCTACAATGAACTGGTGAGACACCAAAGCTAAATTTCAGCTCTAAACTTTCTCTCAGATACAGAATATGAATATAAAAAACACTTATTTCACTAATTCTCATAATTGGTCACGTGAATAAAGTACTCACTCCTTCTCCTGTTGGGATTTGGCCATTGATGTTAAGTGTTCGGAACGGGGAGTGAGTGGATAAGCGTTTATCCCACTCACTAGGCCGTGGTTCAGGTACAGATTCCATGAAGTTCTTTTTCAGTTCACTGATGCTGGCATGATGTTTTTTGATCTCTTCTTGACTTTTGTCTAAATCCTATAGTTGGAAGGGTAAAGATGCAAAACAATAGATATTCAGAGAAAAAAAAGTACCAAGGGAAGCCCATCACAGATTATGAGCACTGGTAGAAAACACACCACATCCAGGGATAGATATAACTAACCCATAAATTGTATTCAAATTGTAAATATACAACATGGTATAATTGCTTGCCTTTTTTTTTTCAACAAGGTGCTTTTCTTGGAAGCAGTGAAGCACCAAAACCCCATAGCACTTAGCAGTTATATAACCCATTAGAAGCTCACTCAATTTTACAACTCTCTTCCCATTATGACACAGCGCTAGATCTCCAACTCCTCATCCCAAGAAGGTAATCCCATACTCAATTAGCCTCAGCTTGATATAAACTGATTTAGGCTCAGCTCAGGCAGGATGGAGATAGCAATAGACAAGGAGAAACTGTTAAATGAAGGACACGGTGAAAGATTCAGTTTCCATCACTGACTGCCTTGCATTGGTGAGTTGCAACTGTACAATATTCCTCTATTTCTACCTAGAGATAGTTTTGCTTCCCTATTATTTAGTGGCTGTTGTTGGTTTTTAGTAAACAGGAATAGTCCTTTCTTGATATAAGAATTTATTACTAGTATATAAGTGTTGATTCTTTAAGTTATACACCTGAAACTAATATAATATTGTATGTCAACTATAATTAAAAGAAGAAGAAGAAAAAAAAGACTATCTCTCTGTGAGAAAGTGATTGGCTCCAAGATTACAAAAAAAAAAAAAAAAGTTACTGAAATTTCAGGCTCAAGCTTCCAGAGCAGGTTGTTACTATCTCTGAATATTTACTCAGGGGTATGTCATATAATGGCTTTTTTCTTTGCCAATACTATTCATATAAACTAAAAGGCTTATGCCTTCCAGCCTCTGACAGCTTCACTTTATCCCTTAGTACAATTAAAAAATAGGGGCCTACTTCTACTAAACGTCAATGAATTGCGAGTGATTTAACAAGAGTTCATAAAATAATTTATATACCTCCTTGATGATTTAAAATACCTCAACTGTTCCAGCAGATGTGCATACTGGACAACCAGGGGTAGGCACTTAAAGGGCATATTCTAGGGAGAAATGATCAAAACTAAGGTTGGTAAAGCTTGTAATAATGAGAAATATTTAGGTTTAAGAAACAGGAGGTATATAACAACTTTCAAAAGGGAGATTTGGCCAGAAATAATCTGAGAAATACAACTTGAAGACAAAAACTCAAATGTTCTTTGCCCAAATTCTTCTCTGAAAAAACTCAAAAGATTTATACTTGAGATCAAAATATGTGGGAGCCTGTCACTTGATGACTGCTAAAAATTCTGTGTTTGTTATATATCAAGGCAGCTCTGTATCCAAGAAAAGCATAACACTAAATATATCTCCTAATATGCTATGTGAATTTTGGGATTTGTCTTCTTTTTTTCTTTTTTACTCTTGTGGGGAATAGCCTCATTTGGAAAAAAATTGGAACTGATTGAAATAAAAATTTGTTTTAAAAGTTTTTTCTGCAGCAATTTAGGCTTCAACTACATTAGATATTTTTCAAAAGCAGTGTCAAAGGGAAAATAACAAAAATAGCATAGGAAAAAAGAATCAGTAAGGCACATGACACAACTTTGATTCTGGAGATATTCATTCAGAAAATTCATTTAGTAGTCCATGCTTTTTATTTTTGCAAGAATGAACCATGTAGCCCTAGCCGGTTTGGCTCAGTGGATAGAGCGTCGGCCTATGAACTGAAAGGTCCCGGGTTCAATTCCGGTCAAGGGCACATACCTGTGTTTTGGGCTCGATCCCCAGTAGGGGGCGTGCAGGAGGCAGCCAAGCAATGATTCTATATATATATATATATATATATAAAATAATGAACCATGTATATTTGATTTGCGGTCATTCAAAGAGAAAACTAACCCCAAAAGGGCAATTCTGTAGCTCCCCCATAAGAGTACCTCTTGCTTTCTGGGATGAAGTGTAAGTATAGCTCATGAACATGGGCTTCACCATGGGGAAACAACAGTTTGCACTTTTGTTCTATCTGAAAGCAAGAAAAGCATGTTTACTAGCTAGAGAAAAGGCATAAACAAGCTCAGTCAAAGACTCTGTAGTAGGCTGAGCATCTGAACCCACCAGGCATGTAAGGACCTGTGACCCAGCACCTGACTGGAAATTAAATCTGCTCGGGTCAAGAACAACTTAACATTTGGGGGAGAGTTAAAAGAATGAATGGAGCAAAATATAAATGAGCAAGAGATGCTACGGTAAAACTATGACTCTCTAGGTCAGTGATGGCGAACCTTTTGAGCTCGGCGTGTCAGCATTTTGAAAAACCCTAACTTAACTCTGGTGCCGTGTCACATATAGAAATTTTTTGATCTTTGCAACCATAGTAAAACAAAGACTTATATTTTTGATATTTATTTTATATATTTAAATGCCATTTAACAAAGAAAAATCAACCAAAAGAATGAGTTCGTGTGTCACCTCTGACACGCGTGTCATAGGTTCGCCATCACTGCTCTAGGTTAACCTTTTAACACAAGAGTTTGTTACTCTTCTTGCCTAGCTTTTCTCTGGCTTGGAACCTGAGAAAATAAATGTTTCAATAACATCAGTGGTTTCTGAGGGAGCTTTCTCCATCCTTCTTAGCTGGCTGTTGGAAACCTGTGGGGGCACAGAGTAAAATTAAGAGCTCAAAGGGACCTGTTCCAAACAGAATTTGTCATAGACACTTGCTACAGGTTCCCTCTGGGAGATGGAGGAGGAGGAGGCGGTACATCTAAAAATTAACCCGACCTTATTTGTGCCAGAACAAAGCATTAGTGGGGGTAGGGTAGTAGAGGGAGGAGGGACGCTTAAAAAAAAAACCCAAAAACTGCTAGAGTGACAGATAACTTGAGAGAATTTCCTAAGAGGGAAAAAAAACCACACCCAAACTTTTATAATAACTAGAGAATGATGGTTAGCCAAATTACTTTGGCTGTTTTCAGGTTAGACACTTTTTGATGCCTATCATATTTTAATTTTAGCAGCAATCAAACCAAAACACTTCATTAAATATAAAATATTCTCAAAAGGTAGTTAGTAGTTTTAATTTTCAAGCACACACTTATTAGAAATCCCCTCTCATGGCTGTCAGTGAAATGCTGGGGAAAAACACACCACACACAGGGACTTTATGAGTCTCAGAAGCCATAACACACCTCATGAAACAAATGACAAATATATGATTGGTACTGCAGGTTCCAGTTAAGAGGAGGCCAAGAAACTGGCATGTTTGGAATTAGGAGATGTTACATTGCTGAGCTCAAGGAGATCAACTGAAATCAGTTATTTTTCCTAATCTCAGAAGAGGAACCATTCAGGTCTAGTTTTAGTTATGGGCTAAAGCAAAGAGATCTAGTTGCCACGCTTGAAATATCCTAGGGTCCAGCTTTGGAAAACCTCATGCTACATGAGGTAAATGTATGTAGAGCACTTGATATTGTACCCACCACATAGTACATGATTAATGAAGGCTGGCCATAACTTGTGTTACTTTCATCAAAGTACCTTATACATAGCAGGCACTCAAAATTTATGTTTTGACAAAGAATAAGATGAGCTTAAGTAATTATTAGAGACCATTACATTAAATCAGTGATCTATCCTAAAAAGTTTCTTTAATCTTCCAGATTAATAGTATTGACCACATTTAATATATGTTCATCTTTCAGGTCTCAGCTAAAATGCTGTCTCTTCAGAGAGAGAACTTTCCTATCCATCTTATTCACAGTAGATCCCTTTTATTAGCACAGCCTGTAGTTTATTTCCTTCCTCACTTCTATAACAACTTGTAACCATTTTATGACTATTTGTTTACTTGTTTATTGTTACTCTCTCTCCACTTCCTCACACTGTAAGCCTTCTGAAGGCTGAAACCATGTTCATCATCTTCCTGTATATTTATATTTCCTTTATAGCTAAGTTAAATCCCTGATATCAGAGTTTGTGGTTGTTTCTTTTGGCTCTGTTTTGAGTGGAATTGTAAAATAATTTGGTCATCAACTTCTATATGAGTTTTTTGATGTGTAAACTAACATAGCCTCAGTTTTTTCTCTAAACAGAATAATTCATTTCCTTATTTTTTCCTCAGAGTTCTCAAAATCTTCTAATTAACTTTGTATCCCTATCCAATATGGAGCCCAAAACTAGATAAAGTATGCATAACTCTGATAAAATTCTCACCAATGTTGACTGTAATGGGAAAATGACCTTACAATTGCTTTAATCGACGGTATGTTGCTATTTCTTAGTTGGGGGGGGGGGGGGGGGGGGGGGGGAAGTAGTGTAATAGAGTTAGACAGGTCTACCTCAAACCCTAGCTTTACCAATTTACCAGTTCTGTGACCATATGGAAATTACTTAATTTCTCTAAGCTTCAATTTTCTCATCTTTAAAATAATAATCTCATACCCACATACCTGTTTTTATGATTAAACCATCTTAGGTCATAGTAACTACTCATAAATGCTAGGCTCCCTTCTTTCCTTTCTGTGTCTTTTCCTTCCCTCTGACTATCCTTCCATCATTTTCTGGTATCTCCAAAATTTTAAGTCCATTTTGAATTGTGGTCATTTCTCTTGCTTTTCCACACTCAGTTCAGAAGATAAAAAAATTGATGCTTGGGACATGTAGCAGTTTATACTCTTAGAAAATTCAATGAATTTTTTTTAACAGAGATGTACAATTTTCTAAAAGTGGGTAAAACAATGGAACCACAAGAGGCAAAGGTATTCCCAATCATATATTTTTTAGATAAGTATGAGAGATGGAAACTAAAAAGAATCAGGTGAGATGGTTACATATCTTTGTGTTTACCAACATGCAAAAGCATTTTAAACCTAAAATTCTCCCATGCAGTGGCATGCAAAACCAAACGCAGCACAGAAAGAAGAAAGGGGCATCAGCAAAGAATGCAGAAAGTTACAGGCAACCAAATGAAATAAGCTTCAAGTTCATACAAACCTCCAACATTAAATTGCTATGTCTGATATAAATGTTTTCACCATCTAGTCTCTCTCTCTTTTTCTGTGAAAATGAAAGAGGGGAAAAACAGAAAAGCATAAAAAATTAAAATACTGTTCTTGCGGGGAAAAACTGCAAATTGGCAAACCAAAAATTGTTTAAAATTAAATGTCCACAGCGCAGCAAAGCCAACATGAAATGGTCACAGAACCACAAGGACACACAGAGAACACGATTACCACTGGGAAAAGGATGACCTTGTCCATGAACGATGGAAGAATGTGATGATGTTATTTAAACAGACAGTGCTCCTGGCTTCATTGGCTTCTTATATAATAAGATGTTTTATGTTCATTTTTTAAATTGAGCTGTTTGAGGGGTTATCTTAACACATGATTTTAAGAAGCGTTAAAACTCCATGTTCCTTCCTGTATCTCTGGAATAGATAAATACTTTAAAACATTATTTAGCCCTAGCCGATTTGGCTCAGTGGATAGAGCCTTGGCCTGTGGACTGAAGGGTCTCAGGTTCCATTCCGGCCAAGGGCAGATACCCGGGTTGCGGGCTTGACCCCCAATAGGAGGCATGCAGGAGGCAGCTGATCAATGATTCTCTCTCATCACTGATGTTCCTATCTCTCCCTCTCCCTTCCTCTCTGAAATCAATAAAGAAATATATTTTAAAAAGCATTATTTAGTTTTTTGACATATTTCATACATACTCATAATGCAATATGTACATCTCTAATACTTTTCATAAGAAAGATCTATTGGCATTTTATATATGATCATTCAATATTATATTCAGTAGAAACTGATTCATCTCACTCTATAATTGGGAAGAAAGAGGCACAGAGCAGTCAAACCCAGTCACTAACAGTACTGGGAAATGCTATGATGGTTTCCATAATAAATATGTATACAATATTGCCAACGATTTCAAGAATATGGTGCCACTGTGAAATATTTCTTATAAAATTTAATAAAGGATAGGTTTGGCCTTTGCTAATCATTTTACTGTGTTTCAAAAGATATTTTTCTACTGGAAAGTTTATTTTAAAGAAATTTTTCAATTATAGTATAGGATTTTAATGTCTTTTGTATCATATGTGTGTGCATATATGCATACATATACATCTATCTTTACTTGAAAGTAATTTCTGATTAAGAGAAATCAATGAAAAGAATGGATCACTGTCTTTTTAATGCACTGTAAAAGTCAGCATGGGCGATGCTAATGCAGTTTTGTGAAAGTGAAAAATGGCTAACCTTCCTCATTCTTATCAGATCTTCAGTTTTTTCTGCAAGCTTCTGTTTTGCCATTATTAAAAAAAAAGAAAGAAAACTGATAAAATATTGGCTCATTAAAGTTAGTTGGAACCTTAATTTAATTTAATTTTTTTAAGGAGAGGGGAGTTGGGGAGAAATAAAAATTGAGGAGGGAGGGGAAAAGGAACAAGTGGCCTACTGGCACAAACCTGTGTTTGGTCACCATTTGAGGTGGGTACTGTGACCTCGATGTGGGTTTTTTCCCCCTACATTTAAGAAATAAAGTGGTTAAAAACATTTTAGGTTAGTAGGTTCCTATGAATAGCATTATTTTCAAAAAAGCCACATCTGTAAGCTGGTTATAAAATAAGTTGATATGTAATCATCATGATGCAGCGTTTAGGGGGTGTAAGAGGGAGGGTCATTACTCTCAAGAGCAATCTGTTAGTTCATCACATTTTCAAGGCTGAAGAGGTAATATGGACAGCAAGTGATCAGAAAAGAAAACTAAGGTAATTATCCTACTGATGAACATTTTATACTTATTTATAAAAAAGTACGTACTAAAAGTAATTAGGCTCAAAAAAGCCATATGTTTTTGTTTTGCTTTTTAATGATCTAGAGGTACCTTAAATAACACTTAAAAACAAATTTACAAATGAAGATATCAATGTATGACATACATGATAGTTAGAAACAAAAAGAAAATCTTTGCAGTTAAAGCACACATATAACACCAAGCAGGTAGATATAAAACATTTTGTTAGTTGACCAATATATTTAAGGAGGCAGTTTCACTCTCGAGTTTATTAGATAACAAAACATCAAAATAAACTTAATCCAAACTGTTACTGATGCATGCAATTATTACTAAGGCTGGTTTATAAATACGCACACACAGGGCTCAGCTGCAGTATTCAACATTCTATAATCTCCTCTCTAGGCAGCTGGAGCCCATCTGTTTGGTGAATGGGTAAGATTCATCCTTAATACTAGGAAGAGAATAACTAAGGCCTCCTGCCTAGCTTTGAAATACCTTTAGTAATAGTCATTTCATATACCCCAAATGGAGTAAGTATAAATAAACAAACACTAGACAGACTATTAAGAGAAAGCATAATAAAGTGAGCAATGCCTAATGCACTGGATATCTCAAAATTAGAAAACTTTTTATTAAGGGTCAAGTCAGATACTTTGCATCAAGTTCTTTAAAGAACCAAATCGATCAGTGGGTTTATTTTTAACACACTTGGCAGCATAACTTCAGAGTACAATGTCATTGTGCTATTTTCTCTAGAACATAAGATAACACCAAATCTTGTGACCCTGTCAAATCAGAAACACATCCATAATAGCACTTTTAACTACCAAGGGTAATTAACAATTTGGGTCAGTTCTATTCTGAATCCCAGTATACTGGTTATGTGACCATTAGCAAGTTATTTCACCTCTCTGAGTTTAAGTTAGTTTAAGTTTTTTATTGATAAAGTAGAAATGATATTTTCATAGACTTGTGAATGCTTAGCAAATGGTAGTTTTTAATCATTTTGTAAAGCTTAAATTACTTGTGTAAATGAATAATGATATTTTTGCTTTGGATTCCTAGCAATCCAACAGCAGAAATTGAGAGCCTCTACTTCG